TAATCAATATCAGGATCTACCCAAAGGATCACAATCTACATTTTGAGATAAACTAGTCTAAACTCTGGGAAAATCAAGGTACGTTGGAACTGACTGGAAGAGGAGGCTCATCTAATGAATTGAATAAGCCTCAATTTCTTGAAGTATAGAATTATGCCTGTATTTCTCCTGGAGGGCTGACAAAGTCAGCTTTTGCAGTCAATCTAACCTCTCATTCTGCAAATGCCATGGCAAATTTAATTTTGTTCTACCCCTTCAGTCTTTTTCTCAGTCAAAATACAAATTTTGAGCTATAATTGACATCTAACCTTATCTTATTTTCAGGAACACAGCATACAAAATCAAATTTTTAGGATTTGTCTTAGTCATTAGTATTATATTTCCATAATTTCTAAGTTTCAAATTTTTGTTCCACAAGGATATGATGATTTCTTTCAAAAACAGAAAAAACAATCCTGCCCCTCAAAGTACCTTCCTCAAACTTTGGCTTCCCCTCCCCCTCTGAATTACTATGACTTTGTAATTTAAGTAATAATTTGCTCAATATATGCTCGCGGAAGGATTTTGAGCTTCCAAGTGTGTAAGCTTCTGCTCTGTTGTCATAATCAGTAAGTGTCTATGTCATAAGCAGAAAATAAGCGACTGGTTCCCTGGCAGAAATAGCCAAACAGAGGCTCACTGTGCTTGGTTCACTGTCCCATAATAAAAGAATCCTTAAGTTTTGTGTATTAATTACTGATTGACTAATAAAAGCAAATTTATCACCAACTTTTCTAATATTGACAGCCGAAGATCTGTGATAACCTTTGTGGCAATGTTGGTAATTTAGTGGCTTCTCCCCTACCCCCACACTCTTGTGCATTTTGTTGTTTGATGAATTAGTCCTTTTTAAACTTCAACTTTCTTGCAAACTTCTTGAAAGTAAGCATTATTATTCTAAATGCTTTGTTTCTGTGTATTCCTTTGACAATTCTATAGATTCCCCCAAGATTTTATGTGCATATGCATTAGAGGAATGAATTATTCACTAGTTAGATAGAAGTAAATCATATTGTCCATGAAGACCAATTAAAGGGCTCTTTAAATTATAACTTTTTCCAGAAGTAAAACTTCTGTGGCAGTAGCATTTCAGGCTAGTTGATTCTATTTCTTTTTCTGACTCTTCATGTTTGTTGGTTTTTTGTTTCCTGGTTAAGCTGATTTTCATGCTAGTTTTGATTTCAATATTACTATTTCTTTGCATTCCGACCTCCTGCATGGACCTTTCACTGGCAGCAATGTTGATAAGACAGCTTTTAATGGTCTGATTGTCTAGCTTTCTGAGACAACCAATGACAGAGTATCTAGTTGTATTTTATGTTTGTCCTGAAGATTCTGTTATCTCTAGTTAGCTGAGATACAGCTTTCCTTTGCATCTGAGTCTCAGACATTGGTTTAGTCTACCTGTAACTGGTTTCATGATTAGGTTGAGATGTTTCTCACATCAACCCCCACTCTATGAGCTTCTTCGAGAGCTCTGTGTCAAAAAATATGTAAACTGCCATGTTAATCAGATGCTTTGATGGATAAACACATCACGTTCCAGAGTCAGAAAATAAGACAATACTGTGTAGTAAAGGATTAACAAAACAGGTCTAGGTCCTATAAACTTTTCACATTCCAAAGAAAGATTTGGCCTTTGCTCAGCTTCTGGAAGATGACCTCTAAGTCCTTGGAATATATTATCTGATCACAATGTTTTTGTTAACCTGGGTACTTAGACCATGTCAAATAGTCTATGCTAACAATATGACTTATGGTAGGGGTCCTGAGGTATCAGCTTGATCTCTGGAGGGGCTGGAAACTGGAGGTCAACCAGATGGATAGTCAGTCATGTCCATGTGACCAGCCCACAATTAAAAATCTGATCACTGAGATTCAGAGGAGTTTCCCTGGTTGGTGATATTCCAAGCAGATTGTCCACACACTGTAGCAAGGAGAATTCAGTGTTTGATGCCTACATGGCCTCACTTGAAGAAGTCAATTAGAAGTTTATGCCTGCTGTCTCCTGGACTTTGCCCTATGTCTCTTTTCAGTTGCTTATTTAAATGTTTCTTTTCACTGTAATAAAATATAACCATGATTATTAATTTTAGTTAACTCTGAGTTCTATGTTTCCTTCTAGTAAATTATTGAACTCAAAGGTGGTGGTCTTAGGGATCCCCTAAGACTCTCTTTGCAATCCCGAGATACAGTAACATCAGCAAAAAGTCAACCTGTCTGGTTCTCATTTCCCAGGTAAACGTAAACTTGAATCTTTCCTGTAAGTTACTCTAATAAAAACAACTATGTCCCTGATTTTGGCAATACCGATGATGGAAGACACATGATTTTTGGATGTGCCAATCATGTAAAAACTGCTGTTTTCCTTCTTGAAGAGAGTAAATGTATATTTGGAGACCTTGGTAACTTGGTACTTTTGTTTCCTTTAAATACTTGTGACTATTAGGGCTTTGGTGGTGGGTGTGGTGTCACATACACTTGTAGAGGTGTGAAACTCTAAAACATATAGTGTTATAAATCATTACCTTAATAAACATAATTAAAAACATAAATACTCTCAGATTTTTAAAAAAAATTTTTTTTAAAGAGGCATGTATTTTTATTTATTTGTTTGTTTGTTTATACAGCACTGGGTACAGTCAGAAGCACGGGAGGGTGAGAGAATTCACCAGAGCCAGAGCGGGGAGCAGAGCTGGCAAAGGGACCGAAGTACACTGCTGAGGGGAGCAGCGGGCGGCAGGAGAGGTCTGCGCGCCATGTGGGACCCTCCTCAGGTGGCCGGGGAGCTGCGGGCAGCTTCACAATCCAGCGCTCAACCGCTGCGCCACTGGGGAGGCCCCCTACTCTCAGATTTTTAATTTGATAAGGTTGTCCTTCTAAAGCTTGGGCTTTTTGCAAATCTTTGCATAAAAATTTTTCTTCTCTAAATACTTTAGTTTCTGAGTACCTTATGCTTTATTTCAGCAGGTGGTAGTTTGAATCAATATTTTAGTAGACTGGTTAGGAGAATCATACTCTATCTTTTGTGGTTTATCCACAGGAAT